GAAGTGGGTGAAGGTGTACATGTTCGGGTGGATGCGCAAGCGTCGTAGTCGGCGCCTGAGTTCTGTGAGTGCATGTGTGGGACGACTGTAGTGATGAACCATGAGCAGCGTGGACAGGGACTCGGCCCACATAGATAGTTGCTTGTTGACCATCGGCATGTTGAGAATTCTGCGACACGTAATGATGATCAGGTAGAGAACCTGATAATATTGGTAGGATGCGTGGACATCGAGTGGATCACCGAGTCTTAGCGCAATGAGCGCCGTGAGGTAGGGAAGGAAGTGGTCGGTGCCGTGCTGCAAGCTGACTGGCCACATGGGCTCAGGGATGCCATAGTGTCTGGCAGCGCCGCATAGTTCTGAACGTTCATACTTGCCGAAGAGCTGCAGGAGAAACACCGTCTCCGGAGATTGAATAACCGGCATGGCTTAGCCATGTATCACATGCTCGAGCACCGAAATGTTAAGTGGGTCAACTTAGAACCACACCGGCTCGCAAACCCCCAGAACCTGGAACGAGAAAAAGAGAAAAAGAAAAAGCAAAGGAAGGACTCAGGGCAAGTTCCGGGCACACCTAGCAGCAGGCCTTCTGTGCCAGCCGATTCATAGCTTGCTAACATCCTTCATCGTGAGCGCTAGCATCGCGTCTCTCACTTGCCATACATGTACAGCACCGTGATGAACTGTAGGAGGGCTCGCTTCGATCCCTTGCTCACCAGCGAGATAGTGGCGCCCCACTTGACTGCAATAGTTTTCAACTGCTCCATCGTGTCCGATGCTCCTGCTTGACGAGATCAAGGTAAGTCGCTTGGTTGGACAGCGTGCGTTCATGCAACCACGCTTTGAAGACTTTGTCCGTGAGACTGGTGGGAAGTGGGACCTGCTGGCCCTTGGGATTGCCCTGACGTAAAAGTTCTGGATCTAAGGTGATGTCCGGGGCGGCCTCCGGAGTCTTGCGCTTTGCCGGGCGTCGTTTGGGAGCTGGATCAGCCTCCGGAGATGGAACTGGTAGGGGGGGCCCTTGAGCATCCGACATCGCTTTGTTGATGTAGAGGGACTGGTCAGAGCGGCCAGGTGTGGGAGTCCAGGATGTGGTATTGGAAGGAGACGAAGATGGCTGCTTCTTGTCCGGTGTGAGAGTGATGCCTTTGTTCTTGTAGCGCTCAAGCTGATGTTCCAATTCGGCAATTTTGTGGCGGGTGAGGTTCTCCTGCTTGGCGGGCTGCAGTGACTCTATGAGGTCCACGATTTTGAGCGCGAGTGGCTCCATGAACTGCATAGCCTCGTTGCGCTTGTCAGGCGCATTGTCCGGGTGAAGGGAGCGGGCAGTCCGATCGATGTCAACCTCCCTGCCTCGCAAGGCTTTGAGGATTGATGTCAATAACACCGCCTCGGCTATTGTCTGAGCCATTACCGGTGTACTGTATCGCCCGTTCGATAGCGCTCGGAGTGCGTGATCTTCTGCTCCTCCCCGAAGAAGACGTGTCAGCGGAAGATCTAGAATTGCTGTTCCTGCGAGTCCGACCCGTCGAGACCACTGAGTGGGTTGAATGTGACGGTATAGTTGCAGGCCGCGGACTTCCGTTTTGTCGAGGAAGATGTCATCAGATTGAAAGGTGCTGGGAAGTAGCTGCGCGTAGCGAGGCTGGGTATACTGCGTTGTATCGCCTTGGCCTGGGGGTGCGCGGGGCTGAAGTTGAACTGGTGGTGCTGGTGGTGGGGGCCGAGAACCTGTCTGCATGTGGGTCGCGCCACCGCCATGATAGTTGTAGAACTGACCAGGAGGCTGCGGTGGGAACTGGTAGGCCATATGTGGAGGCCGAGGAGGATTGACTCGGGGTACTGCTTCCTCTCGAGGCTTCTGTCTGGGACTGCGGGACCGACCATGATGGAAGATGCGAAGACATCGGTTGCGAAGAAGGGGTTGCCGAAGTCGCCGGCCATGAGTAGGGCCACTGAGAAGCCATCAAGGGATGGGGGTGTATCTCTGGCACTTGCTGATTGATTGACTAAACGCTAGGCATAAGGCACAGGTTGTCACTGTGACAAAAGGTTTTCAAACAGAGGCCGGAACCTTTATTGTTGGCAAGAAAAAGCGATCATCACAAGCGGGTCAACACAAGACTAAGAAAATGACGTCAAGAAGACCAGCAAAATAAAGTCGTGCTTGCGTCAGAAGGCCCTAGCGTGCACTTTTTGTCGCAAAATGCTGTCGGCGGGCGAAGACGGCAGTGTGGCATTTGCAATGAAACATCATTAATTGTCATCAGGTGCAGCAGCTCTTCTGATACGGGTTGCCAGCGTAGCAAGACCAGCGCATCGATGAAACTCATAGAAAGCAGGATTGCCGAAGTGGTAGATTGTGCATCTGAATCATCGCCTGATGCAGGTTCACGAGCGGAGGACACCTGTGGATGGTTTCGCGTCGGTAGGCCATGCAAGTCCAACGATCTGGCTTGCTTCTGGAATCACCATCCAACACTTGCCTGACACATAGTGTATAACGTCGGGACGTTCACTGGAATCCAACGCCTCGATACAAGCTTGCTCTCCTCCTGCACGAATCGGCTGACAGGTGCCGACAGCTCGCCCAAACAGCAATAGTTGGGCCATGTTGAAAGACATACTCCAGTTCTGACTCATCGTTCGGGCAATTTCTTCAGCATCGTAATCGGCGTGTCCAGTGATCTTCCAGCCTTGGGCGTAAAAGGCTGGGCACTCCGAGGAGTGCTGCCGGGATGGATGTATCTGCCGGCTTCGTAGTATACCTCGAGTACCGCCGACACTGGACGCGTGGGTCCAGAGCAGCATGGGTCGCGTCTTCGTTGGTTCCTTGAGCCGAACCGTGGCGCCAAGGTAGGGGATGGTCAGCATGAACCAGTGTGGAGTGATCTTGGAGTAGTGATGTTCCGAATTGACCTTCGCATAGTTCAGGGCGGAGTGCTGAGATGGTATTCCTGCTGCATTTAGAGTAGCGGCCACATAGTCCAGCTGCTCCTGATTAACCAGGATCCCGTCGCGGACGTACGGCGAGGCGACCACCTGAAGTTCTCTCCTCCACGGGTCGGACTGTGGGTTGGGGAGCAGGATCAGCGGTGGGTGTGCCTGTGGATTCGGACGTAGCTGCGTGCTTCTCGAGGATGACTCCGTGACTGGGTGAGCACCGGTGGTCTTAGGGGCTGGAGCCGATGGAGCCCTGCTTCTGCTGCGCGGAAGTGGGACCTGTTGCTTCTCGGCCGCCGGGATGAGGCTTTAGTTGCTGCAGGCACTGAAGTGGCGAGAGCCGATGCTGCCGTGGTTGAATGATCCGATTGTGCGTCCCTTCAAGAGATCGGTGGTGGCGTCCTGGAGCGAGCTCGACTGCGACGCGGTGGGGGGCACTGACTTGGAGTAGGGGGAAGCATTGTGGGAACGTGACCGTTCGCCCTCCGTTGTGCGGCGTGATCTTGCCGGTGGTGCTTTGGTCGTGGTGGTCACTGGCATTGGTATGGGGGGGGGCCTGGTTGGGAGCCGAGAGTGGAGTAGCTGGATGTGGAGGTGTGGGACCTGATACTGCCGCTTTCTGAGGGATCGTGGGAGTCCGCGGGGTTGCCGTGGAGGTCGGTGCGGTAGCCGGAGACGGACATGCTGTAGCTGGAGCCGTTGGGGTAGTTGGAGTCATTGGAGTCATTGGGGTTGCTGGGCGCGCCTTCACCAGGATTTGCGGCAGTGGGCCAGCAGCGGATCCGGGCCAGGTAGGAGAAGCATAGATAGGTACCGCTGCGACACTGGGAGCAGGGGATGGAGCCGAAGGTTTTGTGGCCCTCGAGGTACCGGACAATGTGCCAGTAATGCTGGAGGTCGGTGCCACAAGTGTACTCCTGCTCGGTGATGCTGTCTGGCTCACTGGTGATTTGGGTGGCGTAGGACCCGCTGTGTTCTTGGCGGCCTTGGACATAGGGCCTGCTGAGTTCGACATCGGACCTGCGTTGGGTCGTGGCATCTGTTGCTGACAATTGCGAGCCAAGAGCAAGCTGACGGAGTCATGGGTTCTTGCCTGATGTGTCGGGTGGTCTGGTGGTTAGTCAAACAGTTTGTCTGACTTGAAGAGGTCCACGGAAACAGTCTGGGGTGCCGAAACGTCTGGGAGAAGTCCAAGCCTGTATTGAGAAGGTCAGCTGGAACAGTCAAGCGTCACGAGCGACAAGGTCCGGTAACAGTCTGTAGAAATTGTCATTGCATGAGTCGAAACAGATGCCCACAAAGGGGATCAAGACACTGACCGAAGCCCGGACGCAGTGCCTAAACACACTTGATATGAGACGGCGAAACTGCCAAGGTGCACCAAGCAACTGAAAGGTGAAAAGCGGAAAGTGGAGTTTCGGCACAACGTACATGCTACGTCTTTCCTTCGTGTGGCCCTCATCAGGGATGCCATCTGCCACACCAAGTACTCCACGAGCAGAAGTCCATTGCGGTGGCATCCGACTCCAAAAAGAGAGAGAGAACACCGCGGAAACCCCTTAGGAACAGGGGGGCCACACACACACCACACACACACACACCACACAGACACACACCACACACACACAGAGACACGCATTTCCCTTCAAATTTAAATCGAATGGCTCAAGATCCCACGAAATGGCAGTTTCGGACTGAGGTTGGCTGGCTGCAATGCCAGTCTCTGCTTTTGTCCCTCAATGTATCGGGCCCGTTATATCAAACCTACCCAACAAGCACGATAAAGTTGACTTGCCGGAAAGCAAAGCCGGCTTCCCATAGGATCCTGTCGACGTCTTTTCAGCCCTGGGAAAGGGTGGCGCGTGTGTGCTTGGCTTACATTTTGGGTTCAAGGGTCCTTTCAGTTTGTATAGAACCAAAGTGGGGGCTGGGCACGCACACCCCTCCGCGAAACCAAACAAAGGGGCCAAGGCACTACGGAGTTCACTCACAGTGGTCGTTACGCGTGCCACGTTTGTGCTGGTCCGCGCGGGAAAAAAGAGTCTCAACTGTAAGCC